CGTCGTCGTCGTCGTCGTCGTCGTCGTTGTGATCGTCGTCTCAGTCGTTCCGGTGAACGAGAGGTGCCTTCTAACCTATACGACGCAACGGGGAGAACAGGGAGAGCACGGCGCCGCGTTTTCGCCGCCGCCGTGCGCGAGCGGAGGAAGGGCCGAGCGTTTACCTGTCTTGCAATCGGTGCCGCAGACTCTCATTCCGCGTGCTCCATTTGCCGCTACGTTGCGCGCAAGGGAAGAGTATTTACGTAGTAAATCGATACATAACGAAAATCCTCCGGCGCGATCCCTCTCTGTCGTCTACCGGAGTATAGCACACACGCTCCGCCGCGCGACGTACGTGTCGACGGCACCTTCGGTTCGGAAAACGCAACGTCCCCTTCCTCCCGCCCTCGCCCCGACCCGCCGCCGTCGTCCCGCCACCCTGCCGCCGGTCGCCCCGCGCCGCTTCTTCGACTTGCGCGTCGCTCCTCTCTCGTTTTTCTTCTTCTTTTCTTTCCCTTTCACCTCCTCCTCGCGCCGGGAGAACAACAACGATAGTGACAGTTGTCGCGTGCGCACGCGCGCGCCTCGCTTATCGAGAGATAAAGGGTGATTAAATACCGATTAGCTTCACCATCAGTTAACACTGAAAGAGGAGAGGTGGCTAATTACTTTGTTTCCGTCTCTCTTTATGACCTCCCTCCCTATATTTCTTTTATATTTTATATGTATTATGACTCAGACACAATAAATAGGATCTTTGATTGTATATTAAAGCATGGTTTTCTATATAAATTTAAGTCTTCATTCCTAGCATCCACTTTTAAAAAAAAGCCAAAAAAAAAGAGTAAATTAAACCGAGATTAAGGAAACTACACATCGGTTGTCTCGTTCCGTGTAAAATGCGCATCTATTTTCAAGAATCGCAAACATTGCTTCGTTCAATTCAGAAACGATTATTCATTTCCTAAAGAATATCTTTCTTATCTCCATAAACAACATTATCGATAAAATACTCATGGCGCGAAGCGCTGCACGCGTATTTTTTAATTTTTGCTCTATCAAACCGGATATCCGATGCGCCACGTCGCGCATGCGTGAAAAACACGAGTTCGTCCGGCAACGCTAAGTGGCAGCACCGACGGTTTTGTTCTCTTTCGTTCATGGCTCGTGGCATCGTTTAAATTGTGTCACGATGAAGGTAAGAATCCACGAATATCGCAAGAATCATATGTCCCTTGCATGAAATTTATGCTTCTCTTGATGCATCAAGATACGGCGAACGCGATGACGTTCATATCTTCATTGAAACTACATTTATTTACATCGTAATATCAACTGTAAATAAGCGTCAGTGCCAGGTGATCCAAAATGAAACGTGCTGTTTTTTGCTACGTTAATGACGTGTTTTGCACAATTATGATGCCTTTCTTGTTCATTTTGGCCTACAATATATAAGACTGACTATTGTATCGAGAAATTGTTTCATTTTCTGAATGCGTGTTGTGTTCTCTGTATGAGAAAACTCTAACCTAATCTAGACTTAGAATTTTGAATATAATTGTATGTAATCGTTCTAATCGTGCATTCGATTGTTACAGCTGAACGTATCGTATCCTGCGACAGGATGTCAGAAGCTGTTCGAAATTTCGGATGAGCACAAGCTCAGAATATTTTATGAGAAGCGTATGGGTGCTGAAGTCGAGGCTGACGCACTGGGAGATGAATGGAAGGGCTATGTAGTTCGTATCTCTGGGGGTAACGACAAACAAGGTTTCCCCATGAAGCAGGGTGTCCTGACAAACGGTGGGTTATTATAATAATTAATATATATCAAAAACTATTCCAAAAAATAACTTATACTTGTGACTTATTCTTAATTTATTGTCATTATTTAATATTCTCTTGAATCTACATAGATATATTTCTACATATTTACAGCTTCATTAATTAAGTAATTATTTCTAATGTTATATTACTTGCATATGTAGGTCGTGTGCGTTTACTACTTTCCAAGGGACATTCCTGCTATAGACCAAGACGAGATGGTGAGCGTAAACGCAAATCCGTTCGTGGTTGCATCGTAGACTCCAATTTGTCTGTACTAGCTCTTGTCATTGTAAGAAAAGGCAAACAGGTAATTGATCAGATAAAATATATATATATATATATATTATTTTTTTTAAATATTAGATTAGGACAAATCCATGCAATTCAGGGTGTATTCAAGATAATCAATTTTCTTGAAATACTATCGTATGTATGGAAGATCAAATTCATTTTTTGATTTGGGAAATTGCTGTATTATTCATGCTTTTTCTCAGTGTACGAATGAAACATCTGTTATGAATTTAATCTGAATTTTATTACAATAAAATAAGATTGTATGATCCTAAATTTAAAACAAATTAATTATTAAATTTTAAATAAAAATTGAAATTTTTAATTTTAAATTAGTGTAAGACTAATAGTTTATAATAATTTCCTACTGTAATGTAAAATTATAGGAAATCCCAGGATTGACTGACATGAATGTACCGCGTCGTCTGGGACCGAAGAGAGCGAGCAAAATTCGCAAACTCTTCAATCTTTCCAAAAAGGATGATGTTCGGCAGTTCGTAGTAAAACGACCGGTTCAAAAAGAAGGAAAGAAGGAACGATTCAAGGCGCCAAAGATTCAGCGCTTGATTACTCCAATCGTTCTTCAGGTACATAATCTTCCATAAAAAAGTTTATAAAAATATTGGATAAATTTGGATAGATTCCCCGGAAATATAATTAAATTAATTACATTATTTGCCGAGATAAATAAAAGATCACAAAGCATTATTCTTTCACAATTCACTAATTTTATACAGATCCAATACGTTTAGTAATAAAAATGCCTTGCTAAATGTTTTACAGAGGAAAAGACATCGACTGGCACTGAAGAAGAAACGTTGCTTGGCTCGTAAGGAACAAGCGGCAGAGTACGCGAAGTTGCTGGCGCAAAGACAAAAGGAAGCGAAGAACAGGCGCCAAGAAGAACTCAAACGAAGACGCAGCGCCTCCTTGCGCGAATCCAAATCGTCAACCCAAACTGCACCAGCGGTGCAAATGTTACAAATTCAGTAAATTGATGGATTTTCGAAATGTATTTACACATCAATAAAAAAAATTTCAACTATCTAGTTTATTTTATTGTTTTTTATTATATATCTCAACTACCATTATATCCTACGGAAAAAATATGTTAAATGATAAATAGGAATAATCTCAATGCAATACATAATGAATTATTGAAAGATTGTATTCGTCCTAACAATAGCTCATTTTTTTTATAATATTGTAACTAGAAACAATTTTTACCATATCCAATAAGTTTGTTATCGTGAAACAACTTTATTTTTTATTTTCGTCTTTCTTTCTGCCAATTGGCCGATCTCGGTAAAAGACAATACATATCGACGTATCACATTGTCTCGAAAAACGTTAGATCGTCTGTGAAGCATAACGTAACAAAACAAACGACAGTCTGCCTACAGCAGCTATAGCCAGGCGTTTCTGGATCTGGTTATGTCAAATTATGGGCTCACAGTGCATAATGTAATCATGAGTTAACTTTCATTATTTCCGAAGGATGTCCGTGTAGATTCATCCGTTTCTCCGTAAGTTTATTCATGACATAACAAATCCTTCCACGTGTATCGATGTGCGATCGCGAATCTCTATGGATAAAAGCCCGTAAACTCATACATAAGTATGTATGTCCCATAGCCTGTTTAGCTGACTTGCACATTTCATTTTTTCTCTTTATTTCTCTACGAAGAAAAAAAAAGAGAAAAGATGAATAGCAAGAAGTTTAGCTAAAAAGAATAAGTCTTGGTATATATACTTGTTTTCTATTTTTTCTCGCATTTTTGTTTTTCTTTCTCTCTTTAAGTAGCGATACTCATAAAAAAATATGTATTTTATTATAATTTTATATTTTATTAGCAATATTTATTAGTATCTTAATCCTTAATTGGTCGATACCTCAATCTTTTTTTGAGAAAAAGTAAAAGAAATATCATTTTTTTATTGTAATTCTCATAACGTTTTTGACTTTAAAATATAAACAAATACATGGAAAAAACAATTTTGTCAAAGTATCTGAAAGTTTTGCCAGATACATTTAAAAATAATTTTGTTAGGTCATTGGAAGTTTACTTATGTAAGATATTCAAATTAATAGAATAATGAAAATTGTTACAGTATAATTTATAAGTTATTAATATGTGCTTTTAGAATATTGAAATTGAAGAGAAAGAGCAAAGTAAGGAAAATTGTAAGAAAGATATAAGAGAAAAGTGACAACTAAAAACTACAATTTTCGAAGATACAGAAAAGAAAAGAAAGAGTGACTAATAGGAAGAATAAATTTGAGATTGATAATCTCTTCATCTAGTCTTTTCATTTTCTTTCTTTTTTAAGACAAAAACATGTCGAAAGTCGGAGGACTTGAGATAGCCACAAGCAAAACGCATACCCAACCACACTTTGCCAATCATACGCAATCCTCTTTAATGAAGAGACGAACACCAATGAAGAAATCGTTGTCGTCGACGAAAAATGTGAATGAATCGAAGAGAGAACAAGGAAATGGCATTCTCAAATTAAATGGTATTTGCAAGAAACGAAGTAGTGTCACAAAGCAGAGCAAGAGTATGCAGATGCTCATAATGACCCTGAAGCAACAACGAGATCGTACAATCGTTTTTCTTTCTGATAATGAGTTAACAGAAACGATATGTCGCACAGAGAAATCGCTCTGTTCCCTTGGAAGTGATTTGATAAAAGATATCTCTTTCAATATCAAAAGATGCACTGAAAGTCCAGCTAAATTGGCGACTCTTTGTGATAAATCCATAAAAATTGTTAACGAGTCTGAAAAGCACACAGAAAATTCACATGCTTCTCTTCCAGATTCGACAAGCTGTATAGGAAGAAATGATTCAGAAAACATTTGCAACTTTTCTGAAGATCATCTCTTAATAGACAATGTGCATAAATTTCAAGTGAATTCAAGCGACGGTGAAGAATCGACGCATTGCAAAGTCGAAATTCTTTATGAAAATTTGGAACGTGAAAAGCCCAATGACTCTTCAAAAGAAGATTATTCTCAAGAGATTGAGACGCAGATACATCTGCAAAGTATGTTGCCGAATGTAAACGCCATAACAAATCGCAAACGCACGCGAAAATGTTGGATAAAAAAAGCCACAGCTCGAAATGAGCATGTTGATGAGGGACATGTCGATTTACAAGATTTTAAGAATACAAAATTTCCAAGAAACATCAATAATACACGGACTAAGGATAAGACAGTTGTTAATGATGATTCAACTACCCAAAAGAGAAGTACTTTTCAAAAGAATCTTGCTTTTACTAATCAGCGAATTTGGAGACCACCTGGCATTCCTAAAACTTTAGTTGCGGAAAGTGCAACGTCCTTAATGCAGCCAGTGTTGCAGAAGTCATCTCAATCATTTAAAAAATCCTCAACTGCCTCAACGAAAAGCAAACAATCATCGATTGAGTAATATATTTTTTTTTATTTTTTTACTTTATATATTTACAGAATTGCTTTTTGTACATATAGTTTATTATTCTGTATACATTTTTATTTAGTGACACAAGTTGACACAAATGTAGTTCTATCTTTCTTGACATTTAATGAGTTACAAGGACAAAATAATTCTATCGACTTGTGTCACTAAATAGAAAGCATCCTTCGAGAATAATGAACTTTTACCTTATTATTGTATAATTTCTAAATATTTTTCTGAATATTTTTTTATTTTATCTGTAAATTTTCATGTTTCTATTTTTAATTTGTATAATTAGTGTTTGATGTTTTTAAAATGCTTTATTTTAAATAAATTAATATAATTAAAATAGGTTAAAAAGACAACTTTAATTGTATGAAAAGCAAATATATTTCTAAATGATTTCATACTCAATATATTTGATTATAATTTTAGATCGTTTAATAGCGAATCTACGAGCGCAATACTCACAAGTCAGTCCAAGATGAAAGAGAAAGAGAATAGAGATCCTCGTGCAAATCGCATGACGAAAATCTGCGAACATCTCGTGTAAGAAACATTTATCTTTCATATGTACATATAGTTTCAAGCATTGAAATAATATTTATACATAACGATTTTATCACAGAGAAACGAAACAACGGCAGTGGCTGCAAAGTGGAGGGCCGAAGAAGAGACGATCAAAGACAAAGGTTTTAGACAAATGTGACGACGCGAATCCTATCCTGCCGAAATCAAAATCGCGACATTCTCAAACGCAGCCAATCATGCTGCAAGAATCATCAAACAATCGAAATGCTATCGAATCAGGTCGTACCGACTCGCTTTCTATTTGCAACAAATCGAAAAATCGAGAGGTGATTTATACATTGAAAAGGATCATCAATAATGTGAAAGAAGATGAAGATGTGAATGAAAACTCTGTGAATATTTCTGAAAATACTTTTTATAAAAAAATAACAGTGAGATTCAGACGTCACCAAATCGCGATATTCTCTCGCAGAATCATAAATTACATATTTTAACGAAAGATATGAATTTAAATGAAGCGGATCGAGTCTCCGGACAACCTTCTCAGAAAACCATCAGCACACAGACAGAATTAAATTGCGATTTGTATCTTAAGACAGATATTGAAAAAGATAAAGAAGAATTGCATTCGAAGATATTGCAAACTCGAATTGTCGCGACGCAAACATCGCCAAATTATGATAGAAATGTAGTTGAAGTCGGATGCAATACAGAATCATACAATGTCGTTTGTAATGATGTAGAAATCTCTTGCAATCTAATAGACTTCACAAACTTAAAAGCAGAAGTTGATTCAACTGTGATTCAATCAACGTCAGATTTTCCAATTCATACAACGAAATCTTTATTCAAACGTGCTGAAATTAATTCTGAAAGTGAAAATAAATTCGATAAAAATAAAGAAATTCCATTGAACAAATATGATGAGATATTAAGTACACAAATGAATTTAAAATTAGAAAGTTATGATAGTACAGAAATTCCAATAAAACCAACAAAGGCTACTGAAGAACTAGAAGTTACTCGTGACAACTCTTACCCAATCTTTTTGAAATTGCGTAATTATTCAAATAATATGACAAACATTGATATTGATGAACATAAAGAATCCCTAAAATATTTCAATAAACAATACGTAAATGATAATACTTCAATAAATGATCTAGAAAGTCAAATATCCAATCAATTCTTCAATTACGAGTCTTCTTCCGAGGATAGTATGGAATACAACGTTCTCGTACAAAATCTCGAGAATGACATGCTTGCCGAAGATATGCCGAAATCGAAAGTGAAGAATATACCAAGTGACTTGCTCGCAGCTTTTGAGCTCGCGGCAGAGCGTGCTCGCAATATTCATGAAGCGATCATTATATATCGAGAAAACTTGATATCACGAAATTTTTGAGAAACAAAATGAAGAAATCGAAAATAA